AGATGTTAAGGTCACAGATGTCTATTTCATGGCTATTTATTGAGAACCTACTGTGTACAGAGTACTCTGCTTAGCAGGGTTGTGAACACAAAATTGAATTGGGGGAGGGCCCAAGGAGTTCCTGGATTGCTGAAGGGTGGGGCACCTCTGAATTGAGGCAGATGAGTTAAGGGCCAGGAGGATGACATGCGTTGCTTCGTAAGCTGGAAGCGAGGGAAATTGTTTCTTAGAATGATTGGGATGTTTTCACAGAGGCTGCTTCAGTTTGGGGGCTTGAAAGTGGCAGAGTAGTTTCTTTTCTGAGCCATAGCTCTGTTTATTATTTGATCCTCCCCCAACCCATTAAGAAAAATGTTGCTGTACATTAATCCTTTCAAAGCATTTTAATGGTGTTGCTGAGACAATCATGTAAGCCTTTAAAAGACACCACATAGCACACTTGTTTTAGAGGCTGTGGTGGTTAGCCACTGGAACACTAACCATTGGTTTTGATAAAGAGGGGAGGGATTTTATATGTTATAGCTTATGACAGAGAATGGAAAAATGCTTCAGTGAGACACGCTGGCATTTTAAATTGGAGCACAATAATAGCCAAAAGTGCTGAAGTCAACGGACTGCTTAGAAATATGGTTACCATTTGCTGAGAGAGGCCTTTCAAGGTGGCCACAGACATGTGTTTGCAACCACAGTCAGTTCAGTTTTGCCCTAAATGTGGGACTGTGACCCTGATTGACGCCAGTGAGAGCTATGTACTTCCAGAGATAGGGGATTTAGGTTTCCAGAAATCCCAGACAAGTAGGAAATAGGTGAATAAGCCACATAATATACAAACCATAATGTAGGTTGGAAACCAGGCAGCAGTGACTGCTCTTCAAGTCTTCTGGGGCTGGATTAAAAAAATCCTCCTTTTCCTACCAAAGTTGAATTCTTCACGAGAAAAATTGATTACTAGTCTGCACAAATTGAAGAAAACAAAGAAGGTAGAATGCGAACATGCAAGAGTATCTTAGAGGTAACATCTGATTTACGACTTAGATGATATGAAGAGATAACCATGAAATCTAGAGGATGAAAATTCCAAGGAAGAGCATCAGCTAGAGGGAAAAGTTCTATTCCTCACAAACAGAAAGAGATGGGGTGACCTTGGGCACAGCGCTTTCCTTCTCTGGACTTCTTTGTTTTAAGTTGTAGAGGAGAGCTGCATGAGTGAGCCTGAGAATTTGTCCAGCTCCAAAGTTTAATGATATAAAGACTAGTTAAAATGGAAAGCAGAGGGATGGAAATGTAGTTCAGTGGTAGAACACTTGTCTAGCAAGTGTGTGATCCTGAGTTTGATCCTCACTGTCTCAAAATGTATAGATGAATAAATAAGCAAGCTACAGTGCCAAATGTAGCCTTTGTTTTTAAAGATGGTAACCCGAAGGCTGGGGGTGTAGTTCAATGGTAGAACTCTTCTTGCCTAGCAAGTAGGAGTTCAATCCCCAGTAACCCCCCCCCCCAAAAAAAAAAAAAAAAAAAAAAAAAAAAAAAACAACGGTTGGTCTTTGAATTGGATGGAATGGTGGAGAGAGAAAAATGTTAGCAAGAGGAAAAAAAAAATCAAATAAAACAAGGTTGTCAATTTGTAAGTTTAGTAAGTGGAAGGCGATGGTGTTGGGGGAATGGTTCTTTCCTGTTTCGGTCATTTTCTTCCGTGTTGAGGGAGTTCAATTAGAGTGACACTCCTGGTTTTGTGTCTTTATTTCACAAGGTGGCTTAATTTAATAAACTTGGGCATGTTCTGATCATCTCCTCCCCTTTGATTTTTAGGTAGCAATCCTTTCCACAGAGAGCTATTCTCCTGTACAATTTCAGCCCTTAAGTCTTACTTGGGGCAGTGGGGGGCGGTGATCTTTCCTCTCCTTGGAGCTCTGACCTGACCCAGATTGTCTGAAACCATCTGGGAACAGGGGATGCAATTTCCTGGTGTCTTTGGGTCTTGCAGTAAGCCATGTTCTCCAGTTTAGCTTTTATCAGTAGTGATGGTGATATTTTGGTCTCCCTTTGCCATGTCTTTACTATTTCTTGGTATGTTTGGAATTTGGTGGGAAGGAAGAGTGTTGTTTATTTGGCTCTCTCAAGACTCCAAAATTGGGTTCAGAGGGCAGGATTGGCTTGATGCAGAAGGGATGCTGTTCCCTCCAAATTAGGAGAAGGCAGTAGTTATGAACAACTGGAGATGCTTTGAGGTATGATGAAGTTTCAGAGATCATCTCAGTAAAGATCAAATAATCACCTGAGAACCAGTCAGCAAGCATGGAGCTGGAAAATGAGCAGAAGGAAAGACTCAGAATGGCCACAATGAAGTATGTAGCCAAGAATCTGCTAAGAGGACCAAAGAATAGCCAGTCAGGGTAACAAGGGCTGAATTGTTTAAAATATACTCCAGAGCTGGGCATGATGGTGTGTGCCTGCAGTCCTAGCTACTGCAGACACTGAGACAGGAGGATCACTGGAGCCCAGGAGTTTGGGGTCAGCCTGGGCAACTTAGCATGACTCTTTCTCTCATAAATCAAAACAAAACAAAAACAGAAACCACACCACATAGCACACTTATTTTAGAGGCAGCAGTGGTTAGCCACTGGATAATGACAGGTTTTGGACACAGTGGGTTTGATAACAGCCTGGAAAGGATAGGCTTTAAGACAGCGAGCGTCACAGCATTGTTCTCTGCACCAGGCACAAAAGCAACAGACACTGTTCTGTAAAATATATTTTATTCTTAAAGTATATAAACTTTCAGAAATAAATGAAGGAATCTATTAGGGTTAGACAATGAATAATTACATCTATATTGGTATCAGTGCTAACCTAGTTTTCTTCAAATGTGATAAGTTTAGACAACCACTAAGGTTATGTGTGTGTATTTTCAGGCTTTTAAAAAAAATATATGTTTTTTTAAAAAAACTAGTCAACAGCTGTATATTAGCAATTCCAAACACCAGCAGGATGAAGTTTGAACATCATTGTTTCTCATTGCATGGATATAGTCAATGGCTTTATCAGAGGTTGTTATTAATTAATGGCAATTCAGTCACTTTCATTCAGAAAACAATATACCCTAGCTTATCCCCTGTGCCTGTTGACCCTTCTAGCACTAAGAGAAGTACCAGTTTTTTCCATAAATAAACTTCAAACTGTTCTTTTTTTGTGCGGGCGGGATCTGGGGGTTGCACTTAGGGGCACTTGACCACTGAGCTACATTCCCAGCTCAATTTTGTATTTTATTTAGAGACAAGGTCTCACTGAGTTGCTTAACGCCTTGCTGTTGATGAGGGTGGCTTTGAACTTGCAATCCTCCTGCTTCAGCCTCTCGAGCCGCTGGGATTACAGACATGGGCCACTGCACCTGGCTCAAACTGTTCTTCACTTCCCTGACTTCTCTGTACTCCTTTTGTGTTTAACATCATTACCGCATGCAGTTTGGTAGAGGAGCCAGTGTGGTCAATGAAGGATTCTGAGAGGCGGTTGCACTTGAACCAGGGTGTGGAAGGAGAACAGGATTTGGCAGATGGGATCCAGGAGCACTTCAGGTGCTTCTCAGTGGCAAGGTCTGGCAGGGCTGGAGTTACTTTAGGGATCGGAGTCTTAAGCAGGCCCTTTGGTTGGAGAACAGGGTGCAAAGGGAGTATCATCCCCATAACTGGAGAAGTAGCTTCAGTTAGATCATATCAGGCCACGGGAGGCTCCATTTTTTAAAGTTAAGTGAGATTTAGTGAGGAAATGTCTTTGTGAGAGGTAAAACCTAAAAATTCAATAGGGTTGTTTGCTGAAATGAGATTCTAGAAGGAAGGGAAATAAAAAGATTTAGTAGAGAGGCAGATAAAGTCAGAAGGGAAGTGAGGAGGAGTTAAAACAGAAGGGGGAGCACTCCAATTTGCTTGAAAGGTCAATGCAAGTAGTGTTGTTTTGTAGTTCACAGAAGAATGCCTCTTGATATTTAGAAATATAAAAATTGTTTTAAATATATCTACTCTGTCAGAATTTTCTTTTCTCCTGCCATTTGATTTTCATTTTTGGTAAAAGAATAAAAAAAGAACAGCTTACACTAAAAGAAATTAGGTGCACATCAGGGACTGAATAATTTCAAATAATTTCTCTTTCAGCTGCATTGCTATTATATAATAAGAATACATTTTGATTCAGAACTTTTATGAAGAACTTGTACACTTTATTGCAACATCTGTTTCTGTGTTTTAATTTCTCTCCTTCCTTTTATAGGTATTTGCATACTATTTTTTTTCAAATGAGAAGACCTTTTGTTTGCCACAAAAAGGCTATTATCCAGAATGTTAATGGGTTTTCAGCTATTAAGATGTAATGATATACCTTGAGTATTTAACTATAAATTTGAAAAATCTCCATGAACAATCTCAAAGGAATACTTAGAATGCACTCTTGGTAAATTGGCTCATTTTCCTGTAATTTACTGGAAGTGCTGATATGAGAGCAGTCCTAATGTGAAAAGTACATTAATCCCTGGAGTTACATTGTATGTATTAAATTATTACTCTCAAAGAATAAAATGTATGAGTCCATTTAGCCCTCATTCACACTTGTTACTTAGAATCACAGTAGAGAAACAATCACTTATCTTTTGATGCACAAAATTAGAAATGATACATTTAATATCTTCTAAAACAAGAAGCACAGTGATGATCAGTTATGATTTTGCATAACAATTGCTCTTTTTCAAAACAAGGACTTTTTTAGTGAGGAACACAATTCTTTCAGCTTTGTGGAGGCCCATTTCATTCCATTGGTAATTGAAATATTTTTAGAAACCCATAGCGCAGCTTCTTTCATGTCAGTCAAAAAGCTTAGTGTGCCTTCTAGCCATGAGTACCTGCCACGCTGGGGGATTGTTAGGGATGGTAGTCAACTCGCAGGAGCAGCGGTTTGCAGAAGCGTTTAGGATCTTATTTGGAATTTTACCTTATTGTCTTTTTCTTCTTTGCCAGGAGACTGAAAGTTGTGGAAGCATAACTTGTGGCATAGGTGTCTTTTGAGGAAGCAGCCATTTATGATTCTGGAAGATTAAGGCAAGAGAGGAAGCCCCATCTGAGATTTTAACCAACCTTTCAAACAGCAGACTACACCATGGACACGAAGCTGGACCCTTCCAGAGATGATCTGCCTCTTATGGCCAACACCAGCCACATGCTTGTGAAGCACTATGTGCTGGATTTAGACGTGAACTTTGAAAGTCAGACCATTGAGGGCACCATAGTGCTTTTCTTTGAGGATGGAAACCAAGTCAAGAAACAAACTAGTTCCACCGAGGAAACCTGCCAGTTGGAGTCAAGTGAAGCCTGCACATTTAGGGCACCTGAGCCCTGCCATATTCCTGCAACAAATGCAAGGACCGTAGCATCTAAATTGGGATATAATGATTTTGCAATCTGTGATAAAGGTGAAAAAGATACTTTTGATAAAGATGGTAACCATGACAACCAGGAACAGGCTTCTGGTATCTCTAGCTCAGAGTACTGCTGTGACACAAGGAACCATGGGAGAGAGGGTTTTTTGCTGGTGTTGGACTGTTGTGATTTGTCTGTGTTAAAGGTCGAGGAGGTGGATGTTGCTGCTGTGCCAGGTATTGAAAAATTTACAAGGTCTTCCAAGCTCTCAGTTATTTCTGAGGAGCTCAGGAATGAGGTTGTTGGTGAACTTGTGACTCTGCCTGCGGATCGTTGGAGGGAGCAGCTGGATTATTATGCTCGCTGTGGCCAGGCTCCTGGCTGTGGGGAACTGTTCTTTGACACTGATACTTGGAGCTTACAGATCAGGAAGCCAGGGGCTTTGACGGCTTCTGATTTCCCTCATGCCATCAGGATATGGTACAAGACCAAACCCGAGGGGCGGTCAGTTGCTTGGACCTCAGACCAGAGTGGCAGGTAGGTTATCTGAGCACTCCACAGTCGCAGTAATCTTGCACACTTCAGGGGTGCTCTCAGACAAGGGACCAGTTCTGTGGAGATGCTCTCACTTCTTCTGTGACATTACCCAGGTAGCCACAAATCCTAGACACACAGAAAAACAAGTAAATTCTCAGGTAAACTGAATCTTAATAGGATTACCTCCTATAAGTCAGGATGAAAAGATTATTAAGCTCTGGCATTTTGGAGTAAGGCGATTGAAAGGCAAGCTTAATGATGAGACTCTGAGCCTACCTCCTGGTTGAGATCACTGTGACTCTCAGTGGAGTCGATGGGAATGAGTCTCCGAGCAAGTATTTTTTCAAAATTCCTTCACAGTGCCCCTAAGAGAATATAAATGGCTGTGAAATTGAGTCAGTGCAAAGCTGGGCAAAGTGCTGTCCAATAAAACCAGCTCTGCTTTGTGACTTTCATACTGTACCTCTCCTTGGGCAGCCGTGCCTCCCTGGACTCTGTCAGTTGTCCTTTGATGTGAGCCCCCAAAGAACTTGAAAGATCTGTTTCTGAGGAGTGAAATAGTCTGTCCTGCTGAGGCAGGGTGCTGCCTCTCTGGCGCCATTCCTGGTATTTGGCACGAGGAAGCTCCCTATTCTTTAGTGCAGAGAAAGGCTTGATGCGGCTTCCTTTTCCAGGGGAGGCATTTAGGCAGCCATTTGTTCTTTTCTTATGGCTCTTTCTCCAACATCCTCTAAATTTTAGAATTAAGAATGTCTAAATCAAGCTTAGATTCCTCATTATTTTACCTATTTTTTTTTTTTTGCTAATGTACTGCCAATCATTTCAGAGCTTGGGAGGAGGGATGCCGAGTTTGAGAGCCTTCTTTACAGTTTTGGGAGCAGGGCTCTCCTGCAATTGTTACATCGCTCCTCAGCTTCCCCCCAGCCCTCTCATACTTCTTAGATTTTTTTTTTTAAGTATTACTTTGACTTTGAGCTATAATTATCCCATTCTTTGCCTCTAATCTTACCTCCTGCTCTGGTCCCTAGCCCTCTGAGAATGAGTTCACTTCCTGTCTTGTTCTGCTAGTCTGAGACAGCCTTTGGGAAATTGCAGAGTTGAGACAAACTTACATCAGTACCAATCATAGTGATTGATTTATGGAATAAGTTATTGGAATTTCTTTGGAGACCAGGAGGGAAAGAAAAGAAATAGGTGTTCAGATTTGTTTGAAATTATTAAAATTGTGATTTTCAGTAAGATTTAAGTATATACATCTTTGAATATTTAACTAGGAAATTGTAGTTTTTACAATCACAGATCTTTTTGAGAAAAACATTAGAGAAATTGCAACTGAGGGACATTTGACTCGGTATCTGATCGTATTCTTCAACACTATCAAGAGCAGCTTGAACAAGCAAAGTCTAAGAACTTGTCAGTCGGGAGGAGCCTGAGGAGAAGTGATGATCAGAAGTGCTGGAGCGTCCTGAGATGGCAAAGGGCAGACAGGGAAGACGGAGGAGGTCTGAAAGCAGCATGCACTCCAGTCACCAGTCATGTTCGCTCTTGTGGCAACTAAGATACTAATGACAGGAGAAACTGGGTATTATCTTAAAAAACATCTAACGCTGTTCCAAAACAAAGTTTATTAAAAAAAAAAAAACCCTCAGATTTAGAAAAGTCACCATCTTTCTCTCCAGAGACCCCCTTTGTAAGATCTGTCCTCCCACTTTTATCAATAAGTGCAGCGTTCTCTGGAGAAGAATCAATATTTTAAAATTATAAAAGAGCAGTTATCTTCTAAGTAATTCTCAATAATTTTTCTTCCCCATTATTATTCTAGCTCTAAAATGAAGTACCTGGAAGTAGTGCACTCCGTCTGCCTGTCTTGGTCTAGCCACTTTGCAGTTGTGCCAACTCTTGAACCTCAAGGTCCCTTGCCTCTGTCCTCAGATCCTGGACTGTAGGTGACATTTGAGTGACTGGCAGAGGAAACATGGATAACAATCTGTTACAACACACTTCTTGGAAAAGGTGTTTACTGTTATGTGCTCTGTGGACTTGTGTGTCCTTTAAAAATATTGTGAAGAAAGCAAGAACAGGGTTAGGAGTATGTAAAGGTGTTCTTGCAGAGCTAGAAAGGAACAGGGCTTAATATCTTTTTTATTCTAATTCCTAAATACACCCAAGAAAATACTTTTAAAATGGAAATTACTAAGTTCATGTGTTTTCTTCATTTTCATTGCATTTCTTACATTTTCCCCATTTCACTGAATAAATGGTATTTATTTTTAATTATTTTAAATTTAATACCTTTATTTTATTTATTTATTCTTATGTGGTGCTGAAAATCAAACCCAGTGCCTCACACATGCTAGGCAAGCACTCTGCCACTGAGCTCAACTACAGACCCTAAAATGGTATTTAAAACCAAAGCCTTCTTTCCATAACCCACTCCCTTTCCCCTTAGGATCTTGAGGGTGGTTGGGGAAGCGCCTCATAGTCTAGTAGGTCTGGGCTTAGCTGATGACATCAGTGAATGAGGGTCAAATAGAAGGGAATTGGGCTCAATCTAGGAAATCTATTAGGAAAAGTACAATTATTTGAATTGCCTTGCAGGATAAGAAAACTAACTGGGGAAGCACATTATATAGTAAAAGTAATATTAAAATTTAAACTTTTCTAAAGCACCGTGGTATTCTTGATTTAGACTAGGCCAGCCAGGATGAAGTTGGCAAAATACGACTTTTTTCTTTGTTATATTTATTGCTCAGCCATTGGAACAAGAAAGCAGTACACTTTTGGAGTATTTTTAGTTTGACATCAAAAACAGATGTTAAACATGCCCCTCCCCCACACACTGTGAATTAACTTCATTATTTTGTATCTCACTGTAAAGGAAAGTTTTAGAATTAAAAGAATGAGCAGAAGAGGCTTCCAAAGAGATTTCAGGAATAAAGGAAACGTTTCTACAATTAGTGCCTTTTTTTTTTCTTGCTTCAAGAAACCAATACAAAATTCATGAGAACTAAAGTGGAAATACAGGTTAATTCTGTGATATTATCATATAATTGCAAAGAAGGAGTCAGTAATTCCAAACTTGAAAATGTTTGAAAGGGCTCATGTTTTGGCCTCCTTCTCCCACGTCCTCTATGTATGGCTGCATAGCCCAGAATCCTAGGCCCTAAGGAGAAAAGATGGCAAGGGACTGTCTTAGCTAAACAGAGTGCCCCAACATCAAACGGGCAGTCGAACAGCAGATGATGATAACAGGCAGCGGCGTGCATGACCAGGAGTGGAGGGCGCTGAGGAGACCTGGGAGGTGAGAGCGTAGCTCAGGACTTGAGACAAGTCACTTTTCATCTCAGAGCCTACTTTCCTCGAATGTTCCAGGAAAGGATCTCCAAATGTTTTCTGCGTATATGATCCTATGAGAGCTACCGTAGATGCAAAGCTGGATCCCTGCTGATGAAGGGGCTTCCAGTTGACAAATACGGTCTTTGCCTTTATAGGCAGCATGCCTGTCTTGTACCCTTAAACACCTCCATAAAGAAGTGGTTGAATTCTGGCTTAGAGCCACTCCAGTCCTGTCCATATCAAAGTCGTGTCCTCTGTGGACCTGCTGTAGAGTCAGTATGATGGGTGAATTCTGATTTTTGTGTTTGTGCCATGAAGTAGAAAGGTAATAAGGAAAGGGTGTGGGTGTCGGGGGGTGGAGAGAGAAATTGTGTCATAGTTGACTTGTCCTATCCCAGTATTTTTGGCTTCTTGGTTTTTGTGGCATAAAAAAGCAAGAAGTTTTTACTTACCTCCAGTGGAGACTGTAACCTAGTTTGAATGAGAACATGGGGTTGTAAAAAAGATTGGGCACAAATAGAACAAATTGAAAAAGACTGGAGAAGGCCTGAGACTTCGTAATCCTGGGAAGCTTTTAAAAGATTCTGACTGATTTGCCCTGTATGTGGCTCCTGGCCAAGCCCTAGAGACCAGGCCTCACTTTTGGAAGGATCCCATCAAGCCCCACGACACACATGGACCCTGCAGGCTCATCACCCCCTGCTGCTTCTCCCAGCAGCCTGTCCCCAGTACTTGAACTGTGATCACCAGCCTCTGAAAAGGGGTGTCTCGATGGAAAGTAGTGGAATTTAACAACTATTTTGAACTTTTTTCCTGACTGCAAAAAGACAAATGCACATAGCTCTCAACTGAAAAGAAAGAATATAATGTGCTTCGAATGAATCCCCTACAGGCTCCTTTCTAGCAAGGTCCTTAGGATCGCTTACCTTGGAGGCACGGTCAGTGTGGCTGGGTTTCCTTTGGCCACTTGGTGAACACAGGCATTTAACAAGAAGCTGAAGCAATTGTTACTGTACAGGTTCTTTCAGGTTAGAAGTTCTTTAATGGCAGCAAGCCATGGACCTGCCTCTCCAGCCATCTTACCATGTTTCCCTCTTCTTTATGATTTCCACTGTTCTTATTCCCAACTGCAGTGAACCTGGGCTGCCCAGGGGTCTCCCTCATGGGTGGATTTCCCAGGGCATGTGAGATGAGCCCTGGTGAGAGAGCATTTTCCTTTGCGTGCTAGAAGGAGTTATTCGGTCTGGAAATAATGATGTTAGAAGCATCAGAGAATTCCAGGCTGGCGCCTGCACATCTCTCCCACAAGCCTTTTAGCAACAGAGCCGAGGTGCAAGGCTGTGCATGTTGAATAAACACAGCTGCATTTATTTCAATGATTACACATTCAGATACTGCGCAGCCTGTTTATAAATGCACATTGATTTTCCTCCCCTCTGGGTGAGGGGCCAGGGAAGCAGGGAATCAGCTTGCATATGCAGTGGGTCTCCTTTGAATGTGTGCATGATAGAAGCCATCTTTCCTCTGGAGTCACTACATAGGATGTATAATCGCGTGACTCTGTGAAGACCCCATGTTTACCTATCCTCTGTCTCTGGCAGTTGCCCCAAATTCCGCCAGGATTTATCCACAGGATGAAGCTTTCATCTCTGTTAAAAGAGAGTTACCTAACTTTAAATTGTTTTCAGTATTTGCACTATGACGTGAGACATGCAGAAGGATACCAGGCTGTAAAAGATCAAAGGCTTTTGGTTATAAAGAATCTAAGCCCTGGCACTTGGTTTGGGCATGTTGGGAAGGGAGGAGTGAGCCGTAGCTGAGAAGGAGGGAAAGGCCTGGGAAGGAGGAGGCTGGGATCACAAAGAGACTGCCTTTTCAAGAAGCCAGTGCCTAGGGCCTCCCTCTATCTGTGGAAACATTCCAACAAAAAGCAATTGAGTCTTACTTTAGACATGGGTGTGTTTGTGGGTGTGGCTTTTAAGACTGGTGGCTGGATCTACAGTTTCAGAGCTGTAGCTCTAGATACCAAGGGGGAAGCCAGAAAGAAAACACTTTGACTTTTAACAGAAATGGACTCCAGCAGTGTAAAGGGTAGGATAGGAAAAAAAAAAAAAATAGTGAGGATGAGGAGATGTTGGAAGCAGTGCTTCCTTAGGGCCTAACTGGGTCACTAACCCCTTGATGGGAGAGTTTAGTTACCCAGGCAACAAAATGGCTGAAAGAGCCTTCACGAGAATGACAGAAGAAATCTGGACAAAATTCTAGAACAAAATGTTCTGAACTAGATTGCGAGAGGGGACATAATTCAAAATTGGGAAGGGAAGAACGTGGGCAGCATGTGGGTTTTCAATCTACACTATGAAAGGATCCCCCCCATCCTTGCTGGCACATGACTTGGCACGGATAGTGCGCTGCATGAGTGTCATTCCTAGACTCTCTGGGTTAGGTCTGAGTGTAGACACTTGGTCCCATTTTTGGACACCCCACTGTTTGGGATTAACAACACGTAGTCTCCATATCCATAAATTGACCTCTGCTGGGGGATGTGTAAAGCCCTTTGTAAACAGATTACAGAGTGAGGTACCCTTTATCTTTTCCCTCCCTGCCCCTTCCTGAGTTCCCGTGTTTAGTAGCTTTACCATCCATCTCATCACTTGGGCCAGAAACCTCAGAACCTTCTGTGCTTATTATAACTGCATAATGAATTGTTCCAAAATTGATCAGCCTGAAACAGCCAACATTGCTGTCTCACCTAGTGTCTGAGGAGCCTAGTGTCTGTCCTGGAGCAGGCTAGCTGGTGCTTCTAGCTCAAGCCCTCCTACAGGCTGCAGAGAGCGGTCAGATGGGCCTACAGGCATCTCAAGGCCTGAGCGAGATGGGAAATTCTTTCCACGTTCAGTCACATGGTCGTTGCAGGCTCAGTTTCTGACTGTTGACCAGAGGTCTCCATTCCTCTCACCATGTGGGCCCCTCCCCTTGGCTGCCTGAGTGTCCTCAGGACTTGGCAACCAGATTCCCATAGGGCAAATGGTGAGAGGGAGAGAGAGAAAAAGAGAACCCCAAAGACAAAAGCCACTTATCTCAGCGATAAGATGAGATGGCCATCACTTCTGCCATATCCTATTGGTCTCAGAGCTACCAAATCCTTCCCTTCCTTCTGTGCAGTAGTCCTCAGATGTGACTCATCTCAGATCTGATGGCTTCTTCAAGGAAGAGGTGTGGAGGCTGCTGGAGGCCCTGGAGCCTGGGGCACAGGTGGAGTGTAGGGTGTGCCCTGGCCTGGCCTGCCAGCCTCCTAGGGAGGAAAAGAACAATGTATTGGCAGGCCAGTCTCAGGGAGGGTTTGTTCCCAGTGCAGGGCAGAGAGTCACCCAGGTATGGAGAGCCCAGATGCTTTCAGACTAGGCCTACTAAGCACCTTGGGACTTCAGACTACCAGGTGGGGTCAGGCCTCTTGGTGCATGAGGCCGAGATGGTCTTAGGAGAGCCCTAGGCAAGGGTGCTTCACTTCTCTGTGACTGTACAGGACTCACTCCACAAGGGTACTGAGACTGGAAGGGGCTTCCTAGAACTCTTGAACCAGAAATGTTAGGAGTGCATTCTGCTTCTGTGAGAAAGAAGGCCCTGTTTCTCAGTGTCTGCTGCTGTCAGAGGACACAGGAGTTGTACAGCCACTTGGCCATGATAGTACGTCCCCTATTCACTGCTCATTCTTCTCCTTCTGGGGACCCTTCTCTCGTGGGCTTTGGGGAAAAAGAAAAACACCTAATAAGCAGAATTTTCCAAATGAGGTATGGCTGGACACCACCTACCTGAGCTGCTCTGGGATCCCTCCTCCTATTACTGCCCCACTTGGGAGGAGGTGAGAACTAGCAGCTTCTCCTCTTATTAGGAACTTAAACAGCCTGAGGCTGGACAGTTAACTAAGGTTAAGCCAATTAACCAAGGACCCAAGGGGACAAGAGTGGGAGCTCAGAACTCGCTGAAATTGATGGGAGAATCTGGGGCCTTATATGAAAATTTGCTCCTTATTCTTGGAACAATAAACTTGAGATCAAGAATTATATACTTACTAGCCAGAATAGATGATCAAGGTCACCTGCCTGCCCTCCCCTTCCTCATTTTACCCATGACAGAAAGGTGAAGGGACCTGCCTGCAGTCTCATAGTACATTGGCCAGCTAACCTGGATGGATTTTCTGACTGCCTTTGGAACTGCGTGTCTGGTGTGCACACCTGTGGGTAAGCGCACGCACACTGCATCTCCTGCTCACTCTTGAGACCACTTTCTGCTCTCAGTGGGATCGTCCCTGGATGAAGGGACTTCATTTCCCAGGCACTTCTCTTCTGGGTTCCTGCAAGGTTTGGCCAATGGGGAGCAGTGGTAGAAGATTTAAGAGCTGGAGTTGGCAAGTAACTAGCAATCTCTTCCTTTCTCCCTGCATCTGTGTGACCATGTCTCCTCTGTGGTTCTGGCTCCCTCTGGACAGTCTTCTGTAACTTTGGCTTCTGCCAGGTGCCCCTGTTGCTGTGGCCTGGTGACATAGCTCCTCCACGCAGAGGAAGAGTCACTGCTGCTCACCGCTGGAGCTGGTCTCAGGCTTGCTTTGCTGTGCCTGGTGGCTTCTCAGCCCTGGTGTCATTTGTGGGTCCAATTTCTTATATTGTTATCTCTCTTTAGGAGGATCCAGCAGGGTTCTCTTGTCCTTACTGGGTCCTGACCCACAGAGTAGGGCCATCATTCCGTGTGTTCCTGTGCATGGTAGGAACGGGCAAGTGTCCAATGATAATGTTGTTAATGGAAAGAAAACCAGTTTATCAAAAAGAAGTTGTGCTGTTTCCTCTCTGTTCACTCACACCATAAATTAAACTGATTAAGACAGCATCATATTTGTCATAAATTCTCGAAAACAAAAAGTGGTAAAATTTTCCTAAGGTGGTTTCCCCAAGGAGTCAATCTTGTACTTTCTGCTCTGCCATTTAAAAGAATGAATTCCTTTGATGCTGCAGGTCCTTTCCACCGCTCAGCCATGGAAGGGCCCTTCTCGGTTTGGGCGGGTTTCTGTTTTTTTGGTTGTAGCAGAGTCTTGCCTTCATCCGTTGGTTTCATAGGCTTGCTGGTAACAGCTTTGTACGCTTGGCCTTCCCATCACAAGCCTGGTTATCGGGACCCACAGTCCTGTTTACATGCCAGCCCCTGTTCTTGGCCTTCCCACAAGGATTCCCACAAGGCTTCCATTGGAGAAGGTGGTTTCTAAGGTTGGGTTATCTGCCCGCCAGCACTGGATTTGAGACCACCAGCTTGTTTTTCCAAGCATTAATATCTCAGTGATCTCCAAACATATTTTCTTTTCCAGAACACTTTCCAAAAAGTGTATAAGAATGTTGGTAAAACTTTTTTCTTTTGAAGGCATAAGAGCCTAAGGGGAGGGGCAAGGGTATATGTACTTGGCAGACTTGTATCTAAAACTTGTTTCCAAAAAATATTTTTCTCCTTAAAAAAAATCCTCTTTACATATTTAAGTAATTCATTTGGGAGAAATAACCACTCAGCTATTCACATGGCCAGCCCCTTGGCAGCTTCAGTTCAGTGTGCTTTGAAACCAGTCAGCTACAAAGCCTCAATGTTTTCACTTTGAAAGCTCAACTTAACCTTCACTACCATGGTAGTGAGAAAAATGACAACTCATTTTGAAGATTCTCCCCTTTGTGTCTTTGTCTTTATTCTGCAGGCCATGTGTTTATACTGTGGGATCTCCCATAAACAACAGGGCCCTTTTTCCGTGCCAGGAGCCACCCGTTGCCATGTCAACATGGCAGGCTACAGTTCGAGCAGCTGCATCTTTTGTTGTTTTAATGAGTGGGGAAAATTCTGCCAAGCCAACACAGCTTCGGGAAGGTACTGTACATGTGTTCTTTGCTTATTTATGTATTGCACACATGCTGGACCCAGGAACCCAATAAGCAGTGTTTTTCTAAACTTTAAAGAGCTGCTTTATTAGTTGAGTTGGAAATGAACATACTATAAAACATCCTGCCAGAGAAAACAAGCAGGGGCTGGGGAGGGGTGCTTGAGAGTCTGGGCTTGGGATTTGGGGCTCTTCATGCCAGAGTTATCAATTCAGGGATTATTTCAGCAGTTGCTTTCACCTAGTGGCTTGTGGGCCATAAGTGGGTGGTCTTGGGCAGACTCTGGGCAGGCAAGTGTGTCATGGCAACACCATTACGGTTGAGTTCTCTGTGGTTTGGATCTGGTGTCTGTACCTGGTTTTTCATAGGTCAAGAGATAGTGCTACTATTGGCTGGCCCGCTGGGGTAGTCCTGGTAGAGGTCCATTCTATACAGCTCTCCTTCGTGAAGTTCTGAACCAAAGGTGTATTACAAAGCTGGAAGGCAGGGGCTGATGCATTCTTCAGGTTTTTATCTGTGAATTACTTGCTTTTCCAGAACTAATCTGTTAGTTCAAACCCTGAGCATATTGATGCAAGGTAGTTGTATTATTTATTTAAAATATGGCATCTCTTCTCACATACTTATTATAGAAACTTTTAAAATACTCAAAAAAGTAAGAAAATAAAGTTAAATATTTTTAGAGAAAAATAATTGCTAAAGTTTGGTTGCATTTTCCTTCAGATTTAAAATCTATGTGGATTGTAAGAATAATTCAAAATTGTTGTTATAGCATATAGCAGTGTTTATTCTGCTTCCTTTATTAATACAGTGATTGTTGAATATTTTTCAGGTTATTGAGTGTTTTTAAATATAATTTGATGTTGGTGTGAAATTTTGTTGCGTGAATTCACACAACAAAATTTCACGCCAACATCAAATTATATCAGAATTTATTTAACACTCCCATGTCAGATATTTTGATTGTTTCCACATTTTCTCTCCTATCACAAAGTTCCTGAGGAGACATTTTATATGAAGTGGAAGTTGCCGAGCCTGAGGTGTGAGCGTGTGTAAAGCTGTGGTGCACATCCCGTGTTGCTCTCCAGGGGCTGTGCCAGCTTACATACCCCTCAGCCATTGTGAGGTCATGGCTTTCTTGAATTTTGCTCATCAGATATGCAACGGGGAGTGGCTCTTGAATTTGGGTCACTTTGGTTGTGAGTGATTTTCACATGTTCCTATCTGTTTTTTAACCATTTTCATTCCTATCTGTCTGTTCATTTCCTTTGTCCACTTTTATACTGAGGACAGTATGTCGTGTTTTAAAATTTGATTAGCTCTTGGCCTGGGGTTGTGGCTCAGTGGTAGAGCACTTGCATAGCATGTGTGAGGAGGCCCTGGGCTCGACCCTCAGCATCACATAAAAATAAATAAATAAAATAAAGGTATTGTGTCCAACTGCAACTAAAAAGTAAATATTAAAAAAATTGATTAGCTCTTTAAAAAATTAAGGATATTATACCTTTAATTTTACATGAGGTTTCTTACTACAGGATATTTTAATGTTTGTGAAATCAAATTTATCAGATTTCTTTGGAAAGTCTTTCTTTGTACTCAGATTTACCTGTTTTGTTTATAGCTTAATTTTTATAATTTACTCTTTATTCTATGTATATTGTTTTCAACAGAATTGTGAAGTGAGGACTAAGTAATTATCTTTTTCCAACTAGAAAACCAGTTGCTCTAAGAGCACTTACTGTATCTTTTCTGATTTGTGATGCTTTTTTAAAATTTTTAGTTGTAATTGGACACAATACCTTTATTTTATTTATTTTTATGTCATGTTGAGGATTGAACTCAGGGCCTCGCATGGTAGGTAAGCGCTCTACCACTGACCCACAACCCCAGCCCCTGTGATGTCTTTTTTATCATAAGCTAGATTTACAAATATGTACTGAAGTCTTCACTGAATATTTACTTGATTCCAAAATAAAGGCAAAACAAAGTAAATAATACATTTAAAATTTTTGTTAAAGTAGATAATATTTACAAATTAAAAGTAGACAACATATTTCAATAAAGTCTCCTTCCTCTTCTTTTTTCCTAGCTGCCCAGTAACCCTTTCCCAGGCCAACCCAGGTTACTAATTTTGCTTGTGTAATGTTCTTTCTCTTTTGTTGCATAAATAGTGGCATGCTATATACGTGAATAGCACTTCTCCCTTTAGAAGAAATTGATCTCATAGATATTTCATGTCAAATCAGAAAGAGCTTTTTTAAAATTATTATTATTTTTAAGACTACAGATGTTTCATTAATGGATGCTTCATAGCTTAATTAACTAGAGGCTCTGGACTCCACTCTGTATCCAATAAGTAGTTTTGTGGGTATTTACTTCTGGTGCTTTTCTTCCCCTGTGTCTCCCAGTGTTTGTCTCAGGTCTGTGTTCTATTTTTTGTATTACAGCCTCTTTTCTAGCAATAACTTTTTTCATTCTTGAGCTCTTAAGTTTGATTTGTCTTTTGGCTGGGAAAATGCTTTAATTTTTTTTTTCCTGTGAAGGTGGGTGTATAGCCTATTTTCTGAGGTCCCTTTCCTATTTAAGTTGACTTTTAATTGTATTCATTTATGAACAGTTCTTGGCTGGATATAGATTTCTTGAGTCAATTTTTTCCCCTTCTTAAATGACTATAAATATTATTACTATCGTCTCTTATTTAGTATTTCTGGAGAGAAATCTGGCAACACATTTTTTTATTCTTTGAAAGTAGTCTGGTTTTGCTGCCTAGATGCTCAGAAAAAAAAAATTTAAAAATTTTTGTAATTAAAAACTTCAGAACAAATCTAGATATGCTGCCTTTCTTTTGAATCAACTAAAGTTTAATTTACATATAATCAATGCATACATTTAAAATGTATCACTCAGTGAGATTTGACAGATGTCTACACCTTTGTGATTAATCAGCACCTCTGTGATGACGTGGAGCATTCCCATCACCCCAGCAATCCCCTGTGGCCTGTACTCAGTCCTCCCTGCCTGACTCTGTTCAACCACTGAGCTACTTTACATCTCTATAGAGGGGTTTTAGCTTTTCCAAAAATCCCTCTCAGTGCATTTGTTCAGTATGGGTTCTGACATCTGACTGCTTTCACTCTGGGTGGTGTTTGTGAGATTCATCCACATCGCTGCAGATGTCAGTAAGTTATTCTGTTTTAATTGATGAATTAGCCATCCATTGTGTGAATAAATCACAATTTATCCACTTGTCTGTTGGTGGGCATGTGGATTCTTTTGGTCATTTTGAAAAATACGCTGTGACGTTCATGTATGAGACTTTTGTGGACATGGTTTTCACTTCTCTTGGGCAAGTACCTAAGAGTGGATTTGCTAGACCCTTAAAAGTATATGTGTAAGTTTCTAAACTTATGATTTGGCACCTGCCAAACTAGGCCCAACGTGGTTGTGTCCTTTTATATTTCCACCAGCAATGTTTGAGAGTTCTGGTTGCTACTCATCACCCTAAGCACCTGGCAGTGTCAATCCATGGATTGTTAGCCTTCTGACTGAGTGTGAATACCATCTCATTGTGCTTTTAGTTTGCATTTCATTTATTAGATGTACTTATGTTCTTCTTTGAAAAGCATCTCTTCCAAGTATTAAGAATACTTTTCTATAATATTCTAGACGTAAACCTTTTGCCGGATATATGTATTACAAAAATATACTCCCAGTCGGTGTGACTTACCTTTTCATTTATTATTTACACTCTATTCCATTGCTTTTCTGTAGTGACATATTTGTTCTTTATTAACTCCACTCTATATGTAAATTATGTCATTGTAACATATCAATCCTTCTTTAAAAAAAACTTCATTTTTTTTTATATCAGTCTGGTACCACTTACACCTCAGCCTATTTTCTTCTCGTGGCTTTTTACTATTATTTCGTAGAAGTTATATCTTCTTGTCTCATAATGACAAGACCAGTTTCCTAAACTGGTTTTGGTTTCTGTAGCAGATTGATTCCCCAGACCTGTTCTTGCTGAGTCCTAAGGATGATGTCTTTTTTCACTTCGATTCTGCCAGTTTGGTTTGATTTTCTTCCACAGCCTTCATGGCTTTCCTCTCTCCTGTGACCCAACAGACGGGATAAAGTATGTCACTTTCCTGTGGTACCTTCATTGTCCCCTGTGTTTGCTGAACTCCTTCTAGTCCAGTATACAGAGCCAACCTGATAAGCCTCACTCCTCTGTCCAGGCTCTGTTGTCTTGTTGACCGTTTCTGGTCAAGTTCTGCTAGACATGCCTGGCCCTTTCTTTGCCTTCTCTGTTTGGTTCCCTGCCATGCTAAAATAAGAGGGTGTGTTTTGAAACACTGCTGTGTTGAGCAGGCACTGATACCAGAGTCTTCCATCCCACTGAGTTTTCCTTGTGGTTACTGCACTTCCCAGGATGCCATGTGGTCATCCCCTGTGGTATCTCCCCACTGCCCATGGACTTTCTCATTCATGGTTTGGCCCTGTGGTTCAGATGGAAGGCTTTGTGTTTGGCCTTGCTTCACAAATTTAAGCATTATTTTTCTTTTTAGATAGAAAAAAAAATCTCATGATTTACCAAGGTTGATGTAAATTATTGATATCAGAATGATATTTTCAAAACTACCAACCTAACACTAGATATAAACTCTGTATGCTTGGAATTCTTGCACATCTGTGAAGCCAAAATAAAATTATAAAACAGATCAAACTCCTAAATCTTAACATTTAGATTAACAACTTAAAATTGGTATAAAGATTGATATTTTGCTGGCATAAAATTGCCTTTTACAATACAAATGTGGAACTGAGGGCTCCCTGTATTTTTTGTTTGTTTTTGTGATGATCCACCTTTCCATCACTTTAGCTTACACACATGTGGTGACATCATCTGGCCTTTACTTGGGCAAAAGCATCAGCCTTATGTTCTTCTCGCATTATCTCTCAGTAGTGGTGGTAGTCCCCACATGCCTG